TAAAAAAATGAGAACTCTCTCTCCCCAAACTTCGAAATGTCGGGGAGCCACAGTGGAAAGTGGGGGATCTCATACTCATTTTGAATATAACATTCTTCTTTGAGTGGTAATTAAAATAAATGTATGCTAGTATTATATTAGGTTCTCTTTCATCAGCTTAAATTAAAATATGTTACACCCGAAACGATATAACATAAATATGGTTAAACTTTTAAATGTTCTCCATATATATTTTGAATCTTTCTCGATTAAGTTTATTAATTTGGTCATAAACAATCCCATGTGCTTATTCATATACATCTAGTTACATTATACTTTAATCAAACACACATACGGTTTTTAGATTTGGTCCAAAAAAATTGAAGAATTAGGCGAATATCCGCACATGGAACATAAAAAAAAAAACAAAAAAAACTGTATAGTCATATTATATATACTATTAATCTTTAAAAGGGCCGTGAACAAGAATTTTTTTGCTTTCTCATTTCTACCACTTAAGTTTTCTTCAATTACTCCTTTTGCCACGGGCTGCTTGCTTTAGAGTTACTTTTATTTCTCATTTATGCCCTTTTTTCCTTGCTTTATGCATTTACCACCGGATTTTTTTTTTTTTTATCCTTGGCCGCCTTAATGCCTAAAAGAACCGACTTAAAGTTATTCTAGATGGACTTAAAGTGATTGTAGATAGACGTCGGCTTCTTGGTACATCTTGCGTTCTAATTTTGCTTTCTAATTCGCGCTTTTGATTTCTGTTTGTCGGTATATCACTTTAAGTAGACGTCGGCTTCTTGCTACATCTTGCGTTCTAATTTTGCTTTCTAATTGCCGCTTTTGAATTTCTGTTTGCCGGTATCTTGCGATTATATGTTCTTTTGTTGTTGGGTGTTTTTTTTTTGTTTTTTTTTTTTTAAAAAAAATTTAGGTATCTATAATTGCTGTTATGTACTTATTTGATGTCTGGAGTTTTGTCTTCCAAGCGTCCCTTATCTAGACGTTTAGCTGGTATTTTACCTCCTGAGATACCTTCTTTGCCTGTTTTGCCTGCTTATGATGATATTGGTGATTGTAATTTTGTTTGTGTTTCGTGTTCTGCTCTGTTCTGGTTTGATGAAAGGGTTAAGTATTTATCACGTCCACAGTGTCCTGCTTATAGCCGTTGTTGTAGGTCTGGCTCTGTAGTCTTGCCGTATTCGCTTGCACCTCCTCAGTTGTTAGCGGCTCTTTATGATTTCCCCCCTTTTATAAAAAATATTAGGGGCTTTCTCATTTCTACCACTTAAGTTTTCTTCAATTACTCCTTTTGCCACGGGCTGCTTGCTTTAGAGTTACTTTTATTTCTCATTTATGCCCTTTTTTCCTTGCTTTATGCATTTACCACCGGATTTTTTTTTTATCCTTGGCCGCCTTAATGCCTAAAAGAACCGACTTAAAGTTATTCTAGATGGACTTAAAGTGATTGTAGATAGACGTCGGCTTCTTGGTACATCTTGCGTTCTAATTTTGCTTTCTAATTCGCGCTTTTGATTTCTGTTTGTCGGTATATCACTTTAAGTAGACGTCGGCTTCTTGCTACATCTTGCGTTCTAATTTTGCTTTCTAATTGCCGCTTTTGAATTTCTGTTTGCCGGTATCTTGCGATTATATGTTCTTTTGTTGTTGGGTGTTTTTTTTTGTTTTGTTTTTTTTTTTTAAAAATTTAGGTATCTATAATTGCTGTTATGTACTTATTTGATGTCTGGAGTTTTGTCTTCCAAGCGTCCCTTATCTAGACGTTTAGCTGGTATTTTACCTCCTGAGATACCTTCTTTGCCTGTTTTGCCTGCTTATGATGATATTGGTGATTGTAATTTTGTTTGTGTTTCGTGTTCTGCTCTGTTCTGGTTTGATGAAAGGGTTAAGTATTTATCACGTCCACAGTGTCCTGCTTATAGCCGTTGTTGTAGGTCTGGCTCTGTAGTCTTGCCGTATTCGCTTGCACCTCCTCAGTTGTTAGCGGCTCTTTATGATTTCCCCCCTTTTATAAAAAATATTAGGGGTTATAATAATATCTTCAGTATGACCTCTTTTGGAGGTAAAGTTGATGAGGATGTTAATAAAACGGCTGGTCCTTATGTGTTCAAGGTTTCTGGTCAGGTTTGTCATTGGATAGGTGCCTTTGATATACCTGATGAAAAAGGACCTAGATTTTTACAGCTTTATATTGTAGATACAGAACATGAATTACAGAATAGGTTGTCTGCAGTTGAAAGGAAAGACGGTCAGTCTTTAGATCCAATGATTGTTGAAACTCTTATGGGTGTTTTCAATATTCATAATGAGTATGTAAGGACTTTTAAGACTGCCAAAGACCTTGCTGTTGAAAACAGTTTGGTTGACTATGCGGTTTGTTTGTTTAATGATGTCCCTGACCGTTTATATGGACCTCCAGCTCATGGTACTTTGGGTTGTATTGTTGTTGGTGAAGACGCAATAGGCAGTACATACGACATAGTTATACATTCCAGGAGTGGTGTTCCACGCAGGATTAGCAAACTTCATCCTAGCTATATGGCTTTGCAGTATCCTGTCCTTTTTCCGTATGGTGAAACAGGTTGGTCTCCGCGTTTAAAACTTCATGATGAGAGAAGCAGTAAGGTTAGAAATCTTACTATCAATATGTATTATAGTTATCAGATACATGCAAGGAATGGTGTATGGTCTCTTTTGTTAAATTCTTGTAGACTGTTTCAACAGTATCTGGTGGATGCATATGCATGCATCGAATTGTCAAGGCTTGATTTCTATGAACACAATCAGAGCCAACTCAGATCAGCGTATGTTAGTGGCATTTATGATGCACTTTCACGTGGTGATACTGAAAGTCGTTCTGTTGGTAAGCGTGTTTTTTTGCCTCCATCTTTTGTTGGTGGTCCAAGATACATGTACAGTCACTATCAGGATGCTCTTTCTATCTGCCGGGAATACGGGAATCCACAGTACTTTATAACTTTTACGTGCAATGTTGGATGGCCAGAAATCACACGTTATATGAATTCCCATCATCAAACTGATGTTGGTAGTAGAGCTGATATAATTTCACGGGTATTTCATATGAAAGTCACTGCATTCATTGCATATCTGAAATCTGATAAGACTTTTGGCCCTGTTTCAGCATGTAAGTTCCTTTCTAACTTATGTCTTGCTGATTTATATAACAATTGTGTATTTTTTTATTCTAACATTTATATATATATATATATATATATATATATGTATATTTTTTTGTAGATCTGTATACCATTGAATTTCAAAAGAGAGGGTTGCCTCATTGTCATATACTTATATGGGTTGAAGACTCACATAAGATAAAAGATCCTTCAAAAGTTGATGATTACATTACTGCCGAGTTGCCTGATCCTGTTTCAGAGCCACTGTTATATGAAATTGTTACCAGGTGTATGGTCCACGGACCATGTGGTTTGCTGAATTCTAAGGCGCCCTGTATGAAGGATGGAAATTGCAAGAAAAAATTTCCTAAGTCGTTTGTCTCTGCTACGTTTTTTGATAGGGACGGTTACGCTCATTATAAAAGAAATTCAAGTTCACTTCATATGTTGCAGAGTGGTATACAGATAGATAACAGATACATAGTTCCGTATAATAAGAGGTTGTCCAGTCGTTTCAACGCACATATTAATGTTGAGTATTGCGGGTGGAATATGATGATTAAGTACCTGTTCAAGTATGTATCAAAGGGAATGGAACGGGTCAGATTTGTTGTTCAAAAAGATACTCAATGTGCTGATACGTCTGTCTCTGGACAATGTATAGTTGTTGACGAGATAAAAAATTATATTGATGGGCGTTTTCTCTGTCCCCATGAGGCTGCATGGCGGATACTTGATTTTCCTATTCATGAGCGTGATCCCCCTGTTATTATTCTTCCTGTCCATTTGCCGAATATGCAGTCGGTATTCTTTAAAGAAAATACTCAAATCAAAGAGGTAATCGAAAATCCCACCTTTGGTAGTAGTTTGCTATTAGGTTGGTTTGAAAAGAATAGATGGGATTCAACCGGTCGCGAACTTACATACGCCTCTTACCCCACGAAATATTGGTGGGATGACAGGGAAAAATGTTGGAAAAGAAGAAGGCGTTCAAACTCCCGTGCACTTGGTAGACTTATATTTGTCCACCCAACTGGTGGAGAGTTGTTTTTCTTGAGGATGTTGCTGTCCCACCAAAAAGGTTGTAAGTCATATGAAGAGCTTCGCACTGTGTCAGATGTAATGTACGATGATTTCCGTAGTGCATGCAATGCATTAGGGTTGATTGGAGATGACAAAGAATGGATGGATGCTTTTGTGCAAGCTTCTGAGTGGGCGACTTCATCTCAGTTGCGGTCTCTTTTCTGTTATCTTCTGCTTTTATGTGATGTTAATGATCCCATGTGTTTGTGGGACATTGGATGGAGAAAAATGAGTGATGACTTAGTTTATAGGATGCGGTCATCAAATCCTACTATTGAGTTGAATATAGATGATAGTCATATACAACAATTGGTCTTATTTGAATTAGATCACATACTAAGGTCGTCTACTCCACCACGATCTATTTTGGACTTTCATCTACCAAAACTAACAGATAGCAACATCACACTGTTAAAAAATCGTCTCTTCCTAGAAGAAAGTTCTTATAATAAGGCAGATCTTATGTCTACTCATGACCATATGTTGCCACTACTGAATAATGCACAGCTGCAGTTGTACAATGACGTTCGCTCTGCAGAGGAAACACAATAACAAGTGCTTATATTTGTTTATGGTCATGGAGGAACCGGCAAAACTTTCTTGTGGAATACATTGCTTGCTTATTTCCGTTCAAGAGGAAAAATAGCACTAGCTGTTGCTGCCTCAGGAATTGCTTCTTTGCTTCTTCCATCAGGAAGGACAGCTCATTCCAGGTTTAATATTCCAATAGACTTTTCAGAAAAAACCGCATGCAATATAAGAAAACACACAATGCTTGCTGAGTTGCTAAAGCAAACTTCTATTATCATATGGGATGAGGCGCCAATGAGTGACAGACGTTGTTTTGAATGTCTAGATCGTTCTTTAAAAGATATACTTGACTGTGAAGCAAAAACTTTTGGTGGTATGTCTATGTTGTTAGGAGGAGACTTCCGACAGACATTGCCAGTGTCCCCCAAATCTACACCGTCTGAGATAGTTTCTCTGACTCTACCCAATTCCTATCTATGGCCCTATTTCAAATTATGTAAACTAAGTGCCAACATGAGACTTAAGGATTCATCTATGTCATCGAAAATAGAGTTAAATGCATCAGATTTTGCGACATGGCTGGTTCAGGTTGGAGATGGTAGGATTGGTAATATGGATACTGTTGATAGGATAAATACTAAGTGGATTGAAATCCCTAGGTCACTCCTTATACCTCCATCGGAAAACGGGTTAGATTCCCTTATAAATTTTGTTTATGGAGATATCTTTCAAACCAATGTCTCAACAAGCATGTTATCTGGCAGGGCAATAGTTTGTCCCAAAAACGAAACAATACAACACATAAATGATATTGTTATGCGTAAAATTCCTGGGGTTTCAAAGATTTACGAGAGTGCTGACAGCATTGAATTTAACGGGAAGCAGACTACAGAGTTTAATACATTTTATCCGTTGGAATATCTTAATGGACTTACATTTCCAAGCATACCTGCACATTCACTTTTATTAAAAATTAACACACCTATAATGCTAATTCGAAATATAAATCAGAAAGAAGGTTTGTGTAATGGTACACGATTAATGGTCTCACAGTTGTTATCAAATGTGATTGAGGCATCAATTATTACTGGAACCAGCATTGGGAAGAAGGTTTTTCTGCCTCGTATTAGATTTATTCATAAAGCTCCTGATATACCTTTTACATTCATAAGAAAGCAATTTCCTGTTAAAATTTGTTATGGTATGACTATTAACAAAAGTCAAGGTCAGTCTTTAACGAGAATTGGAATATATTTGCCGGAACCTGTTTTCACACACGGCCAACTTTATGTTGCATTGTCACGTGCCACATCTCCAGAAGCAGTTAAAATACTTATGCATTCTGATGAAAAAACGACAAACAACATTACAAAAAATGTTGTTTTCAAAGACTTCTTACAAAAAATAAATAACTCAGAGGTTAAACATATATACAATGTTTCTGTTTTTTTCTTGTATCTGATTCATTTTATTGTACCATATTACGTTAACTTTTTAGATGTAATAAAAAATAATGTTGTATTAACTTTTTTCTTTTCCAGTTTTAACCATGTCCCAAACAGTAACAACAGTTTCCAATCTACATTATGGATGTCCAGGAACAACAATACAGGTCTACAACTATACTTTAGTTTATGCAACATATACATTTTTATTATGGGGTATGTATATAGATGCAAGATATGAGTTTCATTCATGTTTGCAGCTTCGAATATTGCGAATGTGGACTCCACAAGTAAGGACTCAGGAAACATGGTTCTTAGCTGTTGATAGAAATGTAAGTTATACCATTATTTTATTTTTCCTTATTCCGTCACAAGTTTATACTAATTTATTCATAATATTTATATAAGGGTGATGCTGTTCAAATTTTGGGTCAGCGAAAAGACCAAGGATATTTACAATCTGTCCTAATTCCCAGTAAATGCTATACGATTGAAAAATATGCATGCGGAATTCCAGACCGATATCAGAAATGGCTGGATAATGAGGTCTACATAGCTGCTGGAATGGCATCATCAATTACATCTATCCAAGACACACATACAATTCCTGCATGCTGGTTTACTTTCATAACTAAAAAACAAATCGCAGATTACGTGGATCGACATGCAGGTTATCATTTACTTATACAGCATTCACGTTTTTAAAGTAAACACTTACATAAATCGTTAATAACTTTTGTAAACCACTAAATTCCATTTGCAGATTTTATTGGTGTCTTCAGCAAACTTATTAGGTGTACGAAGAAAAACAAAGAACCATATCTATTACTAATATTAAAGAATGAATTGTAAGTAAGGTATTTTTATAATTATTTTCATAAGGTTTTAACACGCTTTATAAATACCAACATTAGAGGCGAGGATATTGCAATAAGCTTATGGAAAGAATGCACGAACATACCTTCAAAGTTTGATGTTGTTGGTTTGGAAAATACTGTTGCTCCCGTTGTTGTTGCGATAACTAGTATAAAGATTTCAACCTATGATGGTATACTTTTTTTTACTATTCTGATATCATCTATTAACTTGTAACAAATATATTTTTTACATTCATGTTATGTATAATTGGTAATTTAAAGGTTCCCTAAGACTTGGAACAAGCAGTGCAAGTCACCTATACATCAATCCACCAATTCCAGAAACACCGCTTCTAACGGACAGGTATTTTAACGCATATAAAAACATTGTAAATATTTCGTTAATGATTAATATAATTTCCCGATTGTACAGTTTCCGTACGTTTAGTGACTCCTCTATATTTTTCGACATCCCAACACCATTAGGAGACATATTACAAAGAGGTCATCCTGAACTCCTGGTATATTTTTTTATTAATGCAATTTAAATTATGTAGATTATGACAACATATCTATTATGCAGAACAAAAGTTTCACTACAAAAGCTGTCATAACTGCGTATGTATTTTCTGATTGTTGGTACCAAGTTCAATGTCCAAATTGCAAGATGTCAGCTTTTAAACAGGGGAAAAGTTGGTTCTGTCCTTCAGATGGTATAATCAATGCACCAACTATAATGTAAGTCTAAATATATAACTTTTATGTTAACAAATATTTAACCAAATCATAGATTTTATACCTACATTTACTATGCAAAACCCCAGGTTCAAGCTTAGTGCAACACTTACAGACGAAAATAATTCTATAGTTGCTCTGCTCTCCGATAACGCAGCACAAGACTTATTCGGTTCTACAGCTGATAAACTTATACCAGACGATGACATAAACTGTAGAGGACAACTACCTGCAATTGCCACTACTGTACAAGGAATAGCCAAAAAAATGAAACTTCGTATCACAAACACATCGACAGATACAAACATTCGCTTTATGATTACAGATATCGAAAAAAGTAACCCACAGGAAACAACATACCCAACAACACCAGCACCACATCATCAATCTCCATCAAAAGACAGCGAGAAAGACTGTTCTTCAGTTCCTCAACACAGTAGAGCAAACGTCAGAAGGTCATTACCATTTGAAAGCCAAGGTAAATATTTCTCTATTATCTGCATACACTACAAAGTAACCTCTTACATTTTTGTTAACAAATACGTATATAATTATATGTGGAAATTTACTATTGCAGACACATCAAATACAAAGCGTAAAAGTGCACGCAAGATAGAATGATCCATCTCCCCTCCGACGTTGATAATGATGACATTATCAGTTTTGCATAATATGTATAAACTAAAGTCCAGAAAACATGTTTTTAGTCTCAGACTTTGTGGTATTTGGCTTTTTATGATAGTAAATATCAGTAACATATGTTCATTAATCTATCACCTATCGTCGTATATTAACCTTAATTTAAATAAGAAAAATGACAAATTTTCAAATAAAATTTACGATTTCGGTTACTAAAATATTAAAAATGGAATACCTTTACAGAGGATTATCTCTTTACTTTTTATATCGGCCTTCTTTCCCTATGTTTTAATTTAATACAACCTTTAAGCGTAACAAATATATTGACCTTCAACATAGTATAACTCCTGACTTAAAAAGTTCAACGATCCTAACCTTTTTGATATTAAAAACAAATATAATTTTTATCACAACCCCTCTGCTATCAAAATGTCACAGTATTTCATAATTTCTATTTAACCTTCCATATGTCATGATTACCTGCAAAGTCTATGACTACCACATAGACATCAACACACCATTAAACACATCTACACACAGCTAAGAATTAAACTCCTCCCTATCTATAATTCACTGTTATCTTGGAAATATATCATACTTTTAAAACGTTATATAAATCGTTATTTTTATTAAAAACAAAAGTAGTCATTATCTGTCCACTATTGACCCTTATCCAGGATTTAAATTAAATCATATATATAATCTTTACACACGAAAATCATACCTGGCCACGTTGTTTAACAAACAACTTGACAACGCATGTTGCATACTAAGCCATGCTATAGCTACGAAAAATTATCATACATCCAACTCTAATACTATCACTCAATCCACCACACACATACATTGTCTCTTCTATAAATAAATGCCATAACGAGCCATTAAAAACAATATACCCAGAATGAATAACAGCGATTACAACAAAAGTTTGACCATCATGATCGATTTCCTTAGGGAAATCGGTGATATACTTGAAGCAATCCAATCTCGACTAGAAGAGAGTTTCTGCATCGACGAAAATATCGTATTATACATAGCGAATCACCCCGACGACGTAGATGTTCAAACACTGCATAACATCTTTGAGAAAGCAAAAACAGAAGATCAGTCCATACAGGACAACATCTCCTTCATGTTGGGAACAATCCACAAAAGAATTGGCAAGTACAAACGTGGCATGAAAGACACACCCTCCGACTGAAGACCCGATTTCCTAGTATTAAAATATTAGACGTGTTATGTATATACAACAATGTAAACAGGAAGTGTAACCGTTAGAATGTTCATAAATAAAATAACTTTATCTATTAACGATTTCGTAGACTTCAAATATTACTTGTGTTATGTATATACGACAATGTAAACAGGAAGTGTAACCATTACAACATATTATTTATAAATAAAATAACTTCATCTATTAAAATACGTCTAAATATTAAAACAACCAAAATCAATTAAATTTCGAAGGCCTAACCTCCAAGTACACTTGCACATATGAAAAACACGTAATTAATTAGGAGATTACTCATCACACATTTTCTGCAACACGTGTCAGCTAATATTACAAATTTTCTTAAAAGCACTCTATAAATTACATAATGTACCTCAAACACAAACACACTTTATAGAAAACTACCCAAAGATCAACACATGCTACGATAACTACCTAGCAATGAGGGCCATGCAAGATATGGAGAAGAAATACGAGGAGCTGATCAACAAAATCAAAGAAGATATAAAAAAAACTTCCAGAAGACAAACATCCATATATCTAATAATTATCAATATAATCTATCTTTCAGTACTATATTTATAAGTTGTAAGCCAAAAAAGTCCTGAATTAACGCCAATAGGCGCAGTTGATTCCATCTAGTTATACATAAAAGCATATGATTAGATTAAAATTTTTGATAGAAAATATTGTATTTATTTTGAATTATAAGATAATATATATTTGTTAGAAAGCTGGAAGTCACCATATTGTAACAATAATAATGAATGAATGTAATTTACAAAATAAAATTCAAATTAATATTGTTCAATAAAATAATCTATCTTTAACTACATTATCTCAATAACTTTTATAATTTTACACATAGATTATGCATAAATTAAATTATATACAATTTCAATTTAACGTCACATTTAGCTATCGTTATATTAAATCAATTACGATCTACTCATTTGACAAAAGCTTATATTTTTAAACCTTAGCATCATTAAATTAAAAAGAATAAAATATTTAATCATACGCTTTCCTAACTTTAATATTTCAAAAACATTTGCAAGGATAAAAAATGATTAATGAATTCTACAACTATTTTAAATTTGAAATTAAGACTTTATTTATACAATAAGAGGTCCTTAAGTATGTTTAACATGATAAAACTTTTCCTTTTGTTAAGTGAACGTGCCTTTTGAATAATGTTTGTAATCTTAAATCGCTTAAGAAACTCAATCAAAGAGAAAGCATATAACTATAAGTTAAGAGGCTAACTCATTCTTTTAACCCACATTGATTAAAAAACAAAATTCTAGGAAAACTAACATCATAATTAGGCTAAAACCATTTATCTTATCTATTTTTTCTCCTATTTTCTTTATTTTGACTTATGTAGGAACCAATTTCGTTATGAAAAACAATTATATATTTCCTTGAACGTTAATATATGGAAATGTTTCTTTGAATAAAAATTGATTAATGAATTACATAATCATTTTACTTTAAAGTGATATATTTATTTATAAAAAAAAAATAGAATAAAAATGCTTTGTACGATACTTTTACATGATATTGTGGGATCATAGTTGCATTTTTCATGTGTTTGTTTTTGTGTCATGCGGTATGTTCATAAATTAATTATTGTTTGTCCAACCTTTAATCGTTTTGGTAATTAGACAATCACATTATAATTTTTTTTGGAGATTAAATTACCTTATTTTCTATATTTTAGATTTACTCCTTCAAACTCAGACATCTTTATAATCAAATAATATAATGTTTAATCATAGTTTTTTCCCCATGACATTATTATTTAGATAAGTTTCAATGTATATAATGAATTATGTATTCATTTCAACTTTTAAATGATACGTATATTTATAGAATAAAAGAGGTTCTTAATTTGTTTAACATGATGATGTGGGATCAAATTTGCACGTATCACATTCTTTTTGATTCGTGTTTCTTATCCCACATCGTTTAAAAAGAAAATTGAAGTGAAAGCAAGCAACTATAAAGTAACGTCCAATTACATAATTAAATTTTAATCAAGTTAAAATTGTCATCATCATAAATTCAAGTCGATAAAATCATATGTTCCAAAAAAAATATATCCAAATCAGAGTATCATGACATCAAGAAATCACAAAACGTTAAAGTTGCCGATGAATGTGTATAGTCATGCCTTTGTTTTTCTTCGATCCTCAGAAGTACTTAAATCATCTCTATACTAATAAAATAGTAATTTTTTTGCCATGTGTCATCATGTTAGACATTGTAATAAATATCATGATACTTGTCAATCTATTGGCACTTGTAATTAATATCATGACACTTATCAATCTATTAATTCTCAATTTCAAATTTCAAATTTCAAAATTTAAATCACATTTTAATTTCATTAAATTTTTAATATTAGAATAAAAATAAAATAAAATTTATACAAATTATAATAAAATATAATTTATACAAATTATAAGATGATATATTTTGCGTATTTATTTGAATCAACGATTATAATTTTATATATAACTAAAAAAATATCTTTTAATTAATAAGTTATTTAATTTTTATTAATTAATAGTTTTGAGTTTTTACTTAGAAAGTTTAATTAATTTTCTAACTGTGGTTCTCACGGGTTATAAACTAGTTTAAATATACAATTGTAAGTCAAAACTTAGTGAGTTTCCCAAACGGTTCGACTTCAAGTCCTCAACGACTCAATACAACATATACGGGTCATCAGCGACCTTAAATCACCATCGGTCTAATTACAACATATTCGAGTCATCAATGACCCTACGTAATTAGCACATCTCATACAACACATACATATACAATAATAGACATGTTTCTACTAGTAAAACTAGACATGCAGTCCAACTATAACAACTATGCCATAAGTAATACAATAAGAAAACTCACCTCACAAATAGACCGGATAAACACCACAACACGCGAATAATAACAAGTCAGTCTCACACACCACCTAAACATTAAACTCAATGTCACTCTCAGCTATGACTTAAAACCCTAGAGTTTGACGAAAAGTCAGACTGTTCAAAAGTCAACATCAATGGTCAAAGTCAATGACCAAGCCACCGCGTCGTGGCAGCTAGAAGAGAACATAGTCGTGGAGCTCATCTGTAACATACACGTTCAGTTATCGTGTATTGTAAAATATAAAAGAGAATAATATTATATGAAATTGAGTGTTGAGTTCTAACAGATAACTTTTACTAATAATGAAGTAAAACTGTATTTAGAATCACTCTGTAAATCTTGGAAGTCTTATGAGATTCCAATTAAAAGTCAAATAATGAAATTTAGTGAAAATATAAAATTTTAAATAAGTAAAGTTTTATTATTGGAAGTTGTAAATAATCTCGTTAGAAATGTTTAGGCGAAAACCTCGTCGAAATTCGAGTTATAACGAAGAAGTTATGACCAATCGAAGATCCGCGACAAAACCGACACGGCGCTCGAATGACGTAAAAAGTGAGTTTTTGATAAACTAATTTTTAGCCTTAGTGATCTAAATGAAAGTCATAGTATTCGTTAAACCGATAAGTTCGTTAAAAAAACGCCAAAATCTGACTTTGTATGAGGAACTTATGATTTTTTTCTACGTTTCGGATTAGAAGTAGACAGCTAAAAACTCGAATTTTAGATCGAGCAATATTCAGCTGATACAACCTGAACGAGAATTCAAGATCTCATCCTTTGTAGTAGAACAGTAAAAAGTCTGACGAAAACAGACATCGGATGAAGAAGTTATGAATTTTTAACGGACTTTTCCTGTCTCGGTCTGTTAAAAATATAATAATAAAAATGAAATCGATATTAGCCGATGAAGTCTAAACGAAAGTTGTAGAGTATATTCTCACCTACGCGTGCATTTAAATTACGTCAAAAACGGAGTTCATATGTGAAAGATATGAATTTTTGAAGTTATTAAATAAAAATAAATGAAAAATCAAAGTATTATCCAGAGTCGTACGCCCCGCGTACACGAGGTTACGCCCAGCGTACCTCGCACGTATCCGGTCCAGAGTCAACCACGTCTACCGTCTTCACATGGTCACCACATAGAAGCCACATCCGAGGCCTAAAGTCCGAGCTGGTGCTACCTCCCATACGCCTAACGTACCGATGATGTACGCCCAACATAGTAAGGTGCTTCGCACCTTATATAAGGATGCGAAGGTCTTCGAACATGCTTGCTCATATTCACTCTTTTACACCCTCTACTCCCATTTTTAGCCACTTTTAATCCCCAGAAGTCCCGTTATCATCCCCGACATCTGAAGCAAGCCCCGACGCCCCGAAGTTCCCGAGAAAATATTATTTTCAAGTCGAAACTCTACCCGAGTGAAGTTCAGTTTTCAACAAAAAAACCCAGTTTCGCCCCAGAAAGTCATATTTGGAGTCGAAGCGCTGCCGAAATTATTATTTTAACCCTGGTTATTTCAAGGTGAGTTCAATATATAGGAACAATTGTATGTTATGTGTTATACGTGCTATGTGCTTTTCAGTGTTTTATTCCGGGTTATTTTTCCATGTTATTTTTATTAGCTATTTTTAATATCAAAGTTATACCTTTGACCATGTGATTAGTGAAAGGACTTAGATTCACGGTGGTACTGGTATATAGCCTCTGGCCATGTGGAACACGTCTCGTTAGAGAATGACTTTTATTCTATGGCATTGGTAGAAGGTTAAATAAGAATGGTATGTAGCCTCCGACCATGTAGAGCATGACTCCGTAAGAGAATGAACTCTATTCTATGGTATTGGCAAATGGGCCAAAGCTTTATTGATGCATATCAAGCATTGAAATCATTATGTCTCATTGATCGTAAATCTTTGAACCAAATCTTGAGTTGATATTGAAAGCCTGACATATGATACACATATTCTATTGCCGTTCTTGTTCCCTATTGCTTCTATCATATTGGTATATATAAGGCATAAGATTA